TCATGAAGTAAACAAGCAAGCCTGCCACAGCTCAATGTACATAATGGCTGTGCTTATACTAATAGCTCCCAACAGTGTGACATCTGGTAGGATGGCCAAATTCCAGTGATGGACCCATACCAAAGAGCATTTGGAAAACACAAATTAGATTTAATAGGCCTTATAAAAGATAAAAATAATAATAGAGGACAAGAAGTTGAGGAAGTTGTTTTGGTGAGGGTGGAAATGGAGGAGGGAATCTGAATATGATCAAAACATGTGAAATTCTCAGAGAATAAATAAAAATATTAAAAAGTAATCTTCCATAAGTTCTTAGTTTGTTGTTATGGAGGTAAAAGCCAAAGATAGGAGGAGAAAAGAGTTTATTAACTGACTTGGCTTATACATGCTCAGACACCGCAAATGGGAGGGACAGTCTTGTTCTTTGCCTTTAGTCAAGAACTTCCACTGTTGTGTTCAAGTCTCCAGCTCATGGAAGGCATCTCGGCAGGCTCTGCCGTCCATATGAGTAGCTAGAGTTTCCTTGGATTTTAATATCAAGATATAGATAGAAGGTTATCTTCTTTTTTTCTAGTCATTCATAGACAAATCAAAGTAATAATCTGAATGCTTTAAGGAAATGAGAACTATGATTCTCACCAATATGTTAAGGAAACCCTTTCTAAATCTATGCCAGGATTGTGTCTCAAATAAAATTTTCCTTCTTGTCTGTAAATACTTTATGATCCATTTGAAAATTATGAAAGGTTTATTCATGTTAAACTATGTAATGCATATTCTATAAGCAAAGAAAGACTATTCAATAAGTAATTTCCTCAAAAGAAAATAAAAAAAAGAAAGGAATGGACAGGAAATGAAAGGGAGGGGAGGGGAGGGGAGGGAAGGGAAGAGAAGGGAAGGAGAAAAATTACATGAACTACAATCACTTGAAAGTTTCTGGAACATTTTTTTTAACACTCATGATGCTTTTAGATCTTTGCTTTCTGAACTAAATTTGCAAAGCTAAAAAATCTTTGAATATTGTTTGAAATAGACAACTCTTTGCATCTTTATTTTAGGAGTACCAAGTCCTAGGTAATGAAGAAGCATCTCTCACCAGTTGTGCTCTAAGTCTGCAAGGATCTGTCTCCCAAGGTGGACAATATATGTGTAAGCTTCTGTAATGGTTAGCATTGTCAACATGACACCATTCAGGGTCTGAGAGTAGGGCCTCAGAAAAGGCTGTGGAGGGATGATCTTAATTACATTAGTTGACGTGGGAAGACTCACCCATCCTGGGTGCAACATTCCATAAGCTTGGGGTTCTGGGTTGAATTTTAAAAAAGAATGCTCACCCAACATGTACGCATTGGCACATTGCTCTCTGCTCCTGACTGTGGATGCACTGGGACTAGTCATTTCAATTTCCTGCTGCCTTGACTTTCCCACAATGATGGGCTCTGAGCTGGAACTGTGAGCCAAATAAACCCTTTCTTCCTATGTTGCTTTTGTCAGGATATTTTATCATGGCAACAAGAAAAAGAAACTAAGCTGCTATTAACAATAATCTGTCATGATTAAGGGGAAAATAGATACTCCTTTGACTGCCAGGTTGTTAATCCCAATAAAAAGCTGTCAAGATAATTTTATTTTACTTTGAAATGTCTCCATCAATTAACTTGAGCTGATTACTAGAACATTAACCTTGGTTGCCTTCAAATATGCTATTCCCGGAATGGCATGTAAATATAAATATGGTATCAAATGTCTTACTGCTTAAAATGATTAGCCAATTTCCCCCCATGACATATAAATGAAATCTAATGTCCTAATCATGAAAAAATGTATTAAATATTTTCTTTATTTAAAAAGGTGTGCTAAATGGTGCAAAATAAGCCTTAAATCCTATGAAAGGTACAGAGCCTATTAAGGTTTTTTTAAACATCTGTGGGAATTACTATTTGATCATATAAAGCTATAAAATAATTAAACCAAATAAACAGCATCCATTTATTGTTTGGTATTGTTCTTGACTTGTTATGGCATGGTAATGAAACCAGCAGCCTTGTGCATGCTGACACATTTTCCACCACCGAATTACATCCCAACCTATATCTTTTGTTGCTATTACTATAAACAGAAATGATACCTACAGTGTCTCCTTGGCAATGTTGGCAAGGGCAGCTTCCCCGGGAAGGCAAGCTTAGGCCATACTCATCATTCACATTCAATGTAGCAAATTCACAAAACTGTTAAGATTACATAAACACTCTAATGCTCCCAAGAGAACAGAATTTTAGCAGGTGATAATATCTAATAAATTTCTAGATCAGCCCTGGGTCTGTTTCTTCTCTCCTTGTACTGTATTCCTAGTCTCTACAGGAACCAGGAAAAATTGAAATGTTTATGCAGAGAGTAATATTTCAGGGGACTCTTGCTACAAAGTTGAGCTGTTAATTATTCTATATCCATTTGAGGAAAACATGGAAACATTGCATTATAAACAAGTGTTGAACTTCTCTATAGTTCAACAACAAAATTTTTATTAAACGGTCTTTATAAGTTTCCTGCTCTACTTGATTTTTATCCATCATGAGAGAAATAATATCCAATACATAATTGTGTCTCCCAAATATCTACCACAGTACCAAATGTTCAATAATTATTGATTGACTGGATATGACTGCCCTTTGTTTCTGATTAAATGTTTGGTCAGGTCTCCAAATGGGAATGACTAAAAATACTAAGGCAAATATTTTCAAGTCTTCTTAACTGCATTAAAGACTTTGTAGGATTGCAAGGATTTTTCAGGCCAAATTTCACCTACAGAGGAAAGCACAGAGAAGCTGCCTAGAACCCCTTTTGCCATAAGATCATTTGTGGAATCTGGAATGCTGGAACTTGAGCTTCCATGGCATTTCTGGTGAAAGGGCAGAAAAATCAAACTCAGAATTTGCCAGGTAGAGTGTGGAATGGGAGACTTGCCCCTTCGTAAAGCTCCATTGTCAGTTTGTCTGAACCAGATACAAGCCACCTCTGTTGCCAGCAAAAGAACATGACAAGGAAAGCAGCCTTGGTTCTTCATAGAGTACAGAGGAATTTTATTTCCTAAGAAATTGTAATTAGGGCTGGAGAGATGGCTCAGCAGTTAAGAGCACTAGCTACTCTTACAGAAGACCCAGGTCAAATCCCACCACCCACATGGCAGTTAATAGCTGTCTGTAACTCTAGTTCCAGGATCCAACGCCCTCTTCTGACCTTCAAGGGCATTGCATGACATGGGTGCATTTACATACATGCAGGCAATACATTCATACACATAAAATAATAAAAATAATAAATAAAATATTTTTAAAAAAGAAATTGTAGCTAAAACTAGCCATTATGCATGTTTGCAAATTTTAAAATTCAATAGCAGACTGTAACACATGAACCACTATAGAATGTGAACAGTGGAATGGAGGTTTAGGGTGAGTTCAAAAATGTGAGAATATTTGCCTAACCTTGCTGTAACCCTAAAACTTCTCTAGATTATAAAAATCTATAAAATTTTATGTATCCTTATATTTATAGACAAATATCCCAGTCACCATTCATCAAAGACACTTCTTTTGCACCAGATAGAGACTATTACAGAGCTGCACAACTGGTCACACACAGACATTGTCTATGAATTGCCCAAGCCTTAGTGGCACATCTATAATGCAACTCCTACACCTAAGGCACACAGAACATAGAACAAGAAGTAAAGAGGACACTAATGAGTATCTCAGTTCTCATTAATGAAGCTCCCTCATGCAGGCCAGGAACACAAAAAGGTCACAAATAACCAAAGTATAGAGATCAAGAATCTGCTGAATGATGGTCCTTGGACAGGATCCCTTTATTAAACTTCACCCACCCAAGGCTCAGGGACCATCGTGGAAGAGGGACATGAAAAGATTGTAAGAGCCAGGGAGGAGGTACATGACCATATGAAAATGGAGTCCTACAAGCTCCTGGGAACCTGCTTATATGAGTCTATGGCAATGGTGTCAGCATACACACAAGTCCCATGCAAACTCAGGCAGACAATAACCCAGCATAGAACTGGGAAAATGAACAACAAATCTCAGTCTTATGTGAAGGAATGTCAGCAACTGATTGCTGCTAGCTGAGGAAGAGCTGATCTTCCTAAAACAAGGAACGCTAGATAGGCTGACTAGACTTAGTGGACAGACTTGCACAGGGAACAGCTGGGGACACAGACAACCCAGTGGGCTTTAATAGGGATGACAGTATATGAACTCCAGTTGGTGAGGGGGGCAGACTGTGGGAGGGTGCCAGTGGGTACTGGGGTATAAAGATGATTAAGATTGTTTGAGCTGTTCATATGAAATACACAAAAAAATTCCACTAAAAAGAAGAGAGTCTACAGAGTGCTGGACCTTGGACATGACCTATATTAAATTTCACCCACCCAAGACTCAGGGGCTATTACACAAAAGGGGGTGAAAAGATTATAAGAACCAGGGAGGAGGTATATGGCTGTATGGAAATATATTTCTACAAGCTCCTGGGACCCTGCTCATTTGAACCTACAGCAATGGTGTCAGCATGCACAAGATCCATGCAAACTCAAGGAGACAAAAACCCAGCATAGAACTGGGGAAATGGATAGTAGACCCCAATCTTAGCTGAAGAAAACTGGTAACTGATTCCTGCTGCGTGCGGAAGAGCTGATCTTCCTAAAGTGAAGGACTCTAGATAAGCTGACTAGAGCTCAGCAGATGAACTTACACTGCAGGACATATGGGGACACTAACTTGACACAGTAGGCCTTAACACAAATGACTGAATTCCAGTAGGAGGGCTATGGGCGGGTGCCAGTGGGGAAGGAGGTATAAAGATGATTAAGATTGATTGAAATATTCTATGAAATGCACAAAAATTCAATTTAAAAATTATTTTTAAAAATCTATTAAGCACTCGCTTCAGCAGTACAATACTAAATTGGAATAATACAGAAAAGATTAGCATGGCACCTGCGCAAGAATGATACACAAATTCGTGAAGTGCTCCATATTGTTTTTTTAAATTAAGTAGTGCGAACCCTCAAGTCTGAAACTGAGAACTTCCTTTAAAAGAGTCCTTGATTACTGATGTTCCTCAACAAATAGAAAGCCTTCTTTTAAGTTAGGAATCTTCCGTCTAAGCCTGAAGAACTTCCTCAAATACTTAGGGAAAGATAATGGACACCTTCTGCAAAGAAAGTATCAAAAGGAAACAAGACTTTATGAGTAAAAATCCCACAGAAACGGGGCTCTTAAATTTTCAAGCTACAAAGTAATGACACTCAGAATTTAAAATAAATAAAATATAAATTTAAAAGCATTCTTTGGGAATATGAAATACAAAATATAGTAACCAAGATTTAAACAATAAAATAGCACCTTTAGAAATCATAAGTAAAGGGCTGCAGAGATAGCTCAGCAGTTAAGAGCACTGACTGCTCTTCTGACTGCTCTTGCAGAGAACCCAGGTTTGATTCCTAGCACCTACATGTGGCTGACAACCATCCATAACTCCAGGTTCAGGGGATCTGACTCCTTTTTCTCACCTCCACAGACACTGCACAACATGGCTGCACTTACATACATGCAGGCAATACACTCATACACAAAAATAAAAATAATAAATAAAATAGATAAAAAAGAAATCATAAATAATTGAAATAGAAAACTTAATAAATGAATATATCTATAGATTAGATATAGCTAATCAGAGACACAGTAAACTTAAAAACAGCCCAAAGGAAATGCTTCCAAACATACCTCAGAGCAAAAATAAATGCACAGCTAAGAAGGTATAGCATATGCAGAACTGGAGTCCAGGAAAAGGTGAAAAAGGCAAGAAACTGAGGGGATATTTGAGGAGCTAATGGTTAATTCCCCATAATAGATATTTGGATGATAAACAATCCCAAGCAGGGTACATATAAAAAGGTCCATATGAAGTTCCAACAAGACAATGAAGAGATTTCAGTCATCCAGGAGATGAAGAACACATCACATTTAAAGGAGTAACATTCAGATTAAGAAAGCCAGGGAAGCATCTCTTCAATTTGTGGAAAGAAAAATGGCCAAACATGATAAGGAAAATTAACTGCAGGAAAAGAAAGCTTGCCACCAGTAGACCATAAGAGGAAACTCTAAAGGAAGAAGAAAAGTGATCAGAGATAGACCTGTGATGTGGAGGAGTCAAATATACAGAAAGTCAAAGCCAAAACATGACAAAAGTTAAAAATGGGCAGGCCATGCTCACCCACACCTTTAATCTCAGCGTTCTAGACACAGAGGCAGGCAAATCTCTGTGAGATTGAGGCCAGCCTGGACCACACAGCAAGTTTCAGGCCAGCTGGGACTACAGAGAGACAGTGCCTCAAAAATAAGTAATTAAATATTAGGAATGGACCTTTGGCCTGAACAATGTGATAGTTATTTATATCATTTATATTATAAAAAATGATGATTTTTTTTAAAAGGCTAATGTCCAAAGAAAAGGAAAGAATGAAAAAAGAAATGGGAGTAAGCATGTATAGATAACTCAAAAGAGCAGTTTTGATCTAAAGGATGGAGGAAAAATGGTATGGCAGCTAGAGAGAAAATGGAGTCATATGTAATATTTTAAGATCAAAAGGAGAACACATAAGAGTATTTCCAATAATAATAGAGAAAATAAAACTGATACAAAAGTAAGGAGGTGGTTTCTTAGGGCAGTACTTGTTAAGTAGGTAAGAACTGGATGGTAGTAGAGGGGCTAGGCTGGCTAGGAGCACAGAGGCAGGTCATCATCACAACAAACAAGAAAGCCAAATATGGAGCTCTAGATACAAGTAGATGGGCAATGCAGTGGTAAGTGCCTGTGAAAGATCTTTCTGAATCCGTTTTTCAGTGAAACATGAAGCAAGGTCATAGCCCACCAACAAGGATAGTAAAGAAAAATAGTCAGGAAAGAAAAGGGAAAATATGGAATAGTCCTGAACAGTGGGAGAGTGAATGGTAGAAAGCAGGCATGTGGTTACATTAGGGCACATTGGAAGCTCCAGGGTTAAAAATGTAAAGACCATTCTGCACATTGTGATGTTTTCTTCCACCATAACCAGTGGCATGAAAACAGGTACAAAAGAGGGAGATAATTTCATTCCACCAAATGGGTAGTTAGCTAAGCACATTCAACAAAGGAGGGCAAACAAGTGTGTGGAAAAGAATGATTATAATGATTAATATTGAGTGTATTGGGAAAGCAGAGTCCAATAAAATGTGTAAGGAATTTTATTAAAGAGAAAATATCTACATGAGAGAAAATTTAGGAGGGAGCTCATCAAACCAGGCAAGCTGTCAGACACTAATGCAAGTGAATGCTCAAGGAGAGAGGGAATGAAGCTTCATTGGTTTTGCATAACATCAGCCAAAGTCAGTCACTGGAATCCAGTGTCCCCAACACTAGAAGGAGGATGCCTACCTTCGTAACCCCTTAACACTCATTCACTGATGGGGTGAGCTGCTTCTGGAAAACTTGGCTTGCTATGAACACGGCTACAAATTTGAGATCTCAGTAACTGGACCGGTGATCACTCTGTATGGTTAGGGATCTGAGAGGCTCAAAGCCTCAGCTGCCACAGAGACAAGGAAGAAAGTGAGCATGCATGTGGAGTGAGATGCAGTGAAAAGATCATACCCACAAACCCAAGAATGAATGAGGGGGAAATGGCACAAAGGATGCATGTGTTATGATTCCTCTTCTGCGGAGTTTCAAAATAGGCACAAGAAAAAAAAGATATACAGACTTCGAATTATGATAGTTCAATCTATGCTTTTTTCTCTAAAATTGTACAAAATTAGTAAGTATTCATTAGAAATCGTACTCTGAATTCTGAATTTTAAACATTTTCTGAGCTAGAAATATATAATGCCATATTCCCATGTGATGCTGCACAGCAGCAGGCCCCCAGGCAGCTGTGTACTCACTGGGAAACCACCAATATGCTACAGTTCATTAGATTAGTATATTAGGTGCAGTTCCAGTATTTTCAACTTAAGATGAGCTTGTTGCAATATAATGCCATCACTAAGAGTGTCTGAATATAGAACCCGTGGAGATGGCTCAGTGGGTAAAAATATTTGCTGTGCAAGCCTGACGATCTCAGCTGGATCCAGAACACAGGCGAAGGTGGAAGGAGAGAACCAATTCCGCAAAGACATTTCTGACCTTGCCCGTTTGTGTGCAAATGTACACATACACAATGATAATATTTTTAATATTTTCAGACAAGGGTATCTATGTATACAAATGCATACTTATATGGTGTGAAATGGAAAATCTTCACAACTAAGGGAACTCTTAAAGGAAGAGGTTTACTGAGTCTTTCTAGATACTAGACAGAAAAGGACCAGATCTTGGGTCAAGTTTCTATAGCTACCAGTTAACAGTGCAAAATAGCAGTTTGGCAAAGTCCAAAAGACCTAGAGCTGAAAATGTGTGTGTGTGTGTGTGTGTGTGTGTGTGTGTGTGTGTATACATGTATGTGGAGGCCAGAGGTCAAAGCAAGATGTCTCCTTCAGTTACCTCTCTATTTTATTTATTTATCTATTTATTTATTCATTTATTCACTTATTTATTTATTTTTAGACAAGATCTCTTGCTGAACCTGGAGTTTCTAATCCAGCTAGACAAGCTAGCCAGAAGGCTCCATTGGGTCACTGCCTCTGCAGCCCTGGGATTACAGGCTCATCCTCAGCTTTATACATGGGTGCTGGACAGAACTTGTGTTTGCATAGCAAGCACTGTATCAACTAAGCCATCTCCCCATCCCCTAAAAACATGTATTTTGTATTTTTTTTTTTTAGGGTTTCTGATAATGCTACATTTTGAACATACAAAGGGTACAAAATGAATTTTTTTTCCAGAATATTTGAAAGGATGGTGCCAGTCTATCATTGTCTGCAAAGCACCTTAACATACTGTTAGTGTAGGACATTTTGTCTCTTAATTAAAGTAGGACCCCATATGTCCATAGTTTTGGCCTGTACTGAAACAATGGGAAAGAGGGTCCCCTAGAGAGTTCTTAGTCTCATTCATAAAAGAATTGGAGAATGGACCCAAATGGCAGAAAGCAGACAGACTTACAGATACCTACATGATTGTGGCTGGTCAGAAGTTCTGCGGAGTTCTGCATTACAAGGCAGAATTCCAGGCAGGAAAACTTTGCTACCTCATTAACGCACCAGGTATTCTACCCCATCTATTTAACATAACTTAGGTGAACTTGCCTTCCTAGGGTGGTTCTATCACCAGGTGATTGACCAGTGAGATTGGAAAGGTGGGACCTCCAACAGATAGACTAGGGATTTTATAGTCTTGACCAGTTAAACTTATGGGGCTTTTTGCTACTCTAACATTCCCCCCTCTGAAGAGATAACCCTAAAATCTCCCTAAAAACATTTTTATAATGAACATTTGAGGAAGGAAAGGATAAGTAGTTTCCATTAAGCCTCCATTGGTTATAGAGAAGCAGAGCAAAGCAGGAAACTTTGAGCTTGGAGGACAGTCTACATGGAGAAGTCATTGCTTTTCTGGATTTGGGGATTTAGGAAGGATGTACTGGCATCTAGGCGGTGGTGATGGGATTTCAGTTAGTCTCATTGTTTTGGTGTGGCTGTTAACTAATTAACCTTCCCCATCTTCCAGCCCTTGTAATTAAATTTAATACTGTTCAGAATTCTTCTCCTTTTAGTACTAAAACAAGCAAACTGTCCTAGTTTGTTTTTCCATTGCTGTGACAAAACACACTGACCAGTACCAACTTGGGGAGGAAAGGGTTTGTTTGTCTTATGTCTCCCAGGGTAGGAACTCAGGGCAGGAACCTGGAGCCAGGAACTGGAGCGCAAGCCATGGAGGATCACTGCTTACTGGCTTGCTCCCCTGGCCCCTGCTCAGCCTGCTTTCTTATGCAACACAGGCCCACCTGCCCAGGGACAGCACCACACACAGTGGGGCTGGGCCCTCCCACATCACCCAACAATCAAGA